ATATATATATATATATATATATATATATATATATATATATATATATATATATATATATATATATTGAAAACACCCCCACTAGTGTTAGTGGTGCTTATAACAGTAGACACCACTAGCACCTGGGGAGTGGCTGCATCTATTGGTGGGGAGCCTCACTTGCTGGAAAACGGGTCCAGCGTCCGATATACAGACTGAAATTAAAGTACAATTTTTATATATAGATGAGTCGGTGAAACTCCGACGAAACAATTTGTCACAACCCCTCGTTTGTTGTCCTCTTCTCCCTCTCTGCCTACGGTTTACCGGGCAGCTCCTTTTGACTATATATATATATATATATAGTATTATAGTGTATATATATATATATATATATAAATACATATATACATATACATATATGTATATATAGATATGATATTTGATCAATCAATCAATGCTTGCATTGATTGAAAAGAGTTATTAAGCCTTTGGTTGTCTAAGGGTGTTGTCACTATAGTCCACGGCGACTTCACGCAAGATTTATTTTCGTTTTGTCGGAGGAGGCCCCAGGAGGGAGTGTTTGGGGGGGTTGGTCCGGTTCGTCCGTTTCGTCCGGTTGTAGGGTTGAGGGTCCAATGAGGGACAGGGGTCCTCATACGTGAAACTTTGAACGGGAAAGCAGTGTTGGTTGTCCGCTACCTGCAAGCTATAAATAGGACATAGTACTATCCACTAGTATCTAGTCATAAAGCATTTAATGTTGTCAGAAACATTAAAAAGATAGCACAACATAGCTGCAGTTATAAATAGTACGCAGCTATAAAACAAAAACAAAAACAAAAGTGCGACCGCCCGACAATTTTTTCCTCCTTTTTTTTTTAATGATAATAGACATGCAATTGGAATTGAAATGACTGCGAGCTACTAAGCTGTCCTATAGAGAGTGAGGTTAGGCAGGTAGGAACGCACAGCTACCCACTCTCTGCTTACCCCGTCCCGATCCCTTCCTCTTTGAACCAGCCAGGGTGACACCTGTTGGAAACCGGGTCCAGCGTCCCTTAATACATCGATACAAGCCAGTGTTGAGGCTATAGTCTTTTTTCTCTTCTGCTCTGGAGCACCCATGTCCGGGTAGACATGCAGTCCGCCAACGGATGCGGACCTATGGACCACACATCTCCGCCGCCGCTCCTATGACTCTACCAAAATGTTTGTTTGGTCATTTGGCTGGTCTGTCATGCATGCAGTGTTTCACCCATTAGGGCATTATTATGATGCTCACAGTAACTGTTGTGCTTTTGGGGCCATATCTGGGATGTATCCAAGCAAAATTATAGCCAGATTCAACAGCCTTTCAGTCAAAAAATTACAAGTGGGAGTTTGATCTAAAGATCTCTTTGTTGTTATTTCTTCATAAACAGAATCTTCTTCTTCTTCTTCTTCTTCTTCTTCTTCTGTGCATGGAGTTGAAGGGATGAATGGCCCGGGGTCATGGTGAAACTTTAAGGCGGATGCGCTCCCTTGTCTTTGTCCTATTCTTTGGTGTGAGTGCTGCTTCGTGGCAATTAAGCCGTAACTCTTTTTCAGCTCCAGACTTCTGTGTGATTGTTCTCCATGGAATTCATTTCGCTCGTTTATCTTCTGATGGGAATGAATATGCATGTTTGGGAATGGTTGCCTGATGGGCCTGTGCTTTGATTATACTCGAGATAATGAGGCAGGAGTGCAGAGCACACGGAGCACTTGACAATGTATGGCTGCCATTTTCGCACCTTCCGCGATAAGTAATTGCGAATGTTTTGTCATTGATGGATTGGTCTTTGATTCGGCTGAAGAATTATGGTGAATGGGTTGCGATTGAGTTGTTGGCTAGAACAATATTGTTGGGATTTTGTTCGAGAATGCAAGAGTGTTTAGATCTGATGATGTTGTGATTCTGAGCGGGTCTTCACTCCAGAATAGGTTCCGCATACCTTCTGCGGCTTGCCCCCACTTCACAAAATCCGAAAGGCGATTTGCTTTCTCGAACAAGCAGAAGGGCACCACGCACGGCCTGCATGCGTGTAAGTACCGTCCCCACGATCCCTGTATGGAAAATTCTGGGCGAAACCATAGACTATTGCAAACTCTCTCTCTCTCTCTCTCTCTCTCTCTCTCTCTCTCTCTCTCTCTCTCTCTCTCTCTCTCTCTCCCCGAGAAACGAAGGATGTTCCCACATTGTTTGCATGTGTCAGATAGATAAAGGCGATAATCACAAAAGTCTGGTCGATAAACGGGGATTAACGATGAATGATGATTGAATTAGTTACCATGTGGACTTAAGGCCCCAACCCGACTGGGCGCCGGCTTCCCATACTCCCGCCACGTCCCTTTCCGTACAACGAGAACAGGACACGTGTATGCGAGTGGGACGTACGAGAAGTCGTCGCAAAGATTGGCAACCGATATTTTTTTCCTCCTGAAACTCGATGCTCAAGATTTGTCGGAGCAGGTTTTGTCATTATTAATACGCATTTTCCGCCTTACTCACTGCGATTACCGTTCAACGAGTTGATTGTCATTATGTGGACGACAGTGACGCCCCTTTGGCCCAACACTCTGTGTAGTGACTGCTGTCGCCTCGAGCGTTACCAATCCAAGGGTTTCCACTACCGCGTACAAAATGTGGACGAACACAAAAAATGAGCTACACGATTGAGACCCTCCACGTCAGATTCTGGGTTGTGCAATGAGCGGCGTCGGGACTTGATCCGAAAATGAGACACTAGAAGTGTACCCACCCCCTTTCAAGCTAAGCGAAGGGCAACGGCCCGCTGGGAAGTTCAACGATACTTTTTGGATTGAATTTCCCCTCGCCAAACGACCAGCGCGCGCCCTTTTCTCCCTAGATATCCGCGTAGTGACAGACCCTCCCCTCTTACTAAGTCTGACCAATATGGGGGATTTTGGTTCTGTCCGTCTATGTTTCCCCTTGGCCGCGGCCGGGACCCCCCCGGCCACAGCTGCTCCGACCGAGAACTTCCGGCCGCGGCCGCGGCCGAAATCTGAAGGGGTTTGGGGAGAGGGGAGTGGGTTTCGGGTGGGAGTGGGGGGGTGCACACCCTCGAAGTGGCAGAACGTAAAAAAAACAAAAAACTGGGGGGTCCTACACATGGGTCTAGCAGGGTGGGCCGGGAAAATTCATGCGTCCACTGGGCTGTGGTTCGTTGATGCAAGTGCGTGGGGGGGAGGGTAAGCAACACAGAAAAAATAAAAATAAAAATATGCGCCCCCTACGGGTTCGTTTTTTTGGGGGTGGGGGTATCTGGTGGGTAGGACCGTGGGGGGATGGGGGTCCGCCGGTTCCGTTGGTGGGTTTGTCGTTGGGTTGNCCGGTTCCGTTGGTGGGTTTGTCGTTGGGTTGAGTGGGGGAGGGGGGAGGGGGAGCGGTGGGGACACTGTGTGGGTTTGGGTTCAAATGTTGAAGTGCAAGTACATAGTCTCCCACTACAAGCGGTGGGATACTGGGTACTGCACTTGGACATCAGGGGCGTGGGGGTTGGGTGGGGGTTGGGTAGGGGTGCAGCGCCGGGCGCCGAGCGGGCTTTGGTTGAGTGGGGGTTGGGTGGGGGCTAGGGCGTGGGGTTTGGGTGGGGCCTGGGTGGGGGTGCGTATGGCAGAGCAAAGGCAGGCATCAATTTCATTCGTGAGGCTGGTGAAATAACACATTGATTAGCATATCATCCACATTTGGCATACCAAATTTAGAACATATTCACAATGAGGGCAACCATAACATGCATGTGTGTGGCATCAGACAAAGATACAATTTGCAACATTGCGACAACAATTCCCGCTTTGTCCGGTACATTTAAGACAACAAACCACTCACCAAACAACAGCGAGTCACATGCGAAAACGAGCGTGGAAGAGGAGCACGTAGAAGAACAGGACAGTGAAAAAAAAATTGCACTCCAAATGCATATGTACGTGTCTGAAGCCAAAAACCGGACCCCGTCAACGTCTACCGAACCGTGAGATACGGTACCTCACAAAAAAACTAATGTGATCGTACCATTCGTCCCTGTGGAAACTACCCTATCAAAACAACGTCCTATACAAAACTATGATACAACCTCGAGCAACAACATCAACATGACTATGAAACTACCCTGTCAAAACGACGTCCTATAAAAAAACAAACAAAAAACCAAATACATAAAAAAGGCGCTAACGCCTCCCTCTCCTTGCGGAAGGTCCAGAACCTCTACCTCCGGAAGGACGCCCGCGGCCTCTCCCGGTGGACTGTCGACCATGAGCTCCTCCCGGACCCCCTCCACTGCCTCCAGCACTTGTGCCCTGCGCACCGCTGATGTATGCCGCCTATGCTGCCGCGGCTGCCAAGGACACGACCGCTCTGTGTCTGCCGACTGCATTGTCGATCGACTTGGACTCTGTGTCTGCGTCCTCGTCCTCGGCCCCCCCTGCAGCAATCGTCTCTCGCCGCATCCAATGCTGCCTGGCCGGCGGCGATCTCCGCTGCGAGTCGAGCCTCGACGTCCGTGAAAGCGCTCTGTCGTCTAGTCCCACGATGCATCAGCAACGCCTCCTCGCCGGATGTGTAGTGTTGACCCTACGCATGTCCGCAGCTGTCCCTGGGGCCGAAATCGGCGGCGGGATCAAAACTCTCCTCGTCGCTGATCGAGCCAAACCGAGCATGCGGCCTGCCACGTGAAGACTCGGACGTCCGGAGCCACCCTCGCTGCTGTCCGCATCCTGAAACCGTGGTGACAAACGTCCTGCGAAGGCGCCCCTCCCGGCGTCGTAATCCGCCCTCATCCGGTCCAAGACTCGGCGATGAGCTGCCCATCTGTCAGCAACACCACCTGCGACAAGCGGCGGGGAACCGGCAACGGGCGCACAGGCCGTAGTCATGTCGGCGCCGCCCTTCGTGCTCCGTGCGGGTGGCGGAGGCATCGATCCGGCAGATCCGCCGCCGTCACTGTGGCGGCCCGACCCGCCATCAATCAGCGTGGACCCCTCTCCCTCTAATGCCGTTGAGCGACGAACCTGACCATCTAGGGCTATCCACGATTTAGGGCAGGGGCGAATACGGTCCTCCAGGGGGGCGCCTCTCGCCGCTCCTGCGGCCCGTGTGGGGGAAAGGGTCATGTGAACCGAATCGCGCCAAATCGTTGGCGTCAAAAGCAGCCTGCGCAAAGGTCTCGGGCCGTGTGAGAGGTAGCGAAGGCACTGACGGGTCCCTCACGACCAAAGCCAGCATACCCACATTGCCGTCGTCGCCACCGTCGTCACCGTCGTCGCCACCATCGTCGCCACGGTCGCCATCGTCGTCGTGGTGGCCGCCTTCGTGGTCGGACCCCTCCTCGTCATCGCCGTGGTCGGACCCCTCCTCGTCGTCGTTGCCTCCGTGGTCGGACCCCTCGTCGTCCTCGTCCTCGCCGCCATCGTCGCGGTCTGCATCTCGGTCGGGTCCACCCTCCCCCCCACCACCCACGGCGACACAATCTCCCTCAACACCCGTGGGGATACCCTGTCGGGCCTCCCCCGCATCAGCCTCCCCACCAAAACCCACGTCGCCTCCGTCACCGCCGCCACCCCCCACTGTCTTCAACTCCCTGAGTCGGCGCTGCTCCTCCATATACGCGAAACGACCCTCCCATCCCGGCAATGTCCCCAACCGCTCCTCCTCCTCTCTGTCCACCTGGGCATCCCACTCCTCCGCGCTCTCTACATGGCCCCGCACATGAGAATCGTCGATACGCACGTCCGAGAGCGAGGCAACCCCCTGTCTCGGGGCACTAAAATCCCCCAACCCCCCGCCAGAGCCGCCGCCGTAGAAGTCGTCGGTACGAAGCTCGGATGGCGAGCGGTGGCGGACATTGGCGCAGGATGGAGTCCTCTCCAACTCCGGAATGCCTGCGAGCCCGGTCCTCTCACGGTGCTCGGTCGGTGGTGTCCGCTGTCTCTCCGCTGCCGATGCCGACCTCGTCCTCGGCCTGGTAGGCTCGGGCGGTCCCGTAGTCCGATGATGAGAGGGAGAGAATTGACGATCCCGAAGGGGCATCTCCTCCTCCTCCCCCTCCCCCTCCGACTTGCTGTTGCTCCTGACCTCCCAACGTCTGCCCGTCTGCCGAAGGCCTCGGAGTGGCTCCTGCTCCTCCACGTGCTCGTCGGCACGCGGTCGTCGTCGACGACGATCACYGGCTCWGCCGGTGCCACAGGCCTGACCACCGGACRACACATYGTTAGTGATGAYGGATGTGTGTGGAGCCATGCCGTCAGGTCCTCCRCCGTAAGTGAAATAGACCYGCTCCGCCGTCKCGTSGCYGCTGACGGGAGTGTCATCATCRTCCGTCCAYTRGTCGTCCGACGTGTCGTCRTCCGCATCAGCGTCYGGAGTCTGCTCYGGCCACGGCCGTAGCTCCGTCGCTCTCTTGCCGAACACGTCCTAAAACGGGTCGGCTCTGGACGGTCGACAAGAATGGAAAGCGACGACCTGGTGCTCGATGTCCTGCTCGCTGAAACTGCCAGCAGGTCGCGCTCCCCACACCTCGGGGTCCACGTCCCCCTCGTCGTCCTCCTGCCTTCCCACGGTCTCCTCCTGACCGGTCCCCATAACCCAGGGCAACACGTAGCCACTACCCTGTTGTGCGCACGAGGCCAATTTGTGATTGGTGGCAATCTCAACCAGCTGTGCAAGCTTGGCAAAGCCAAGCTTGTGGCGCCTCGCCGTGTTGATGCGCTCGTGCTGTGCCCAGTTCCTCTCCGCAGGAGAGGCGGACGTCCACAAGTGCATCACACGGATGGCGATGGTGCACAACTCAGGGTGACGACGTCCGTGATCAAACCACCACTGGGCACAACGCTCAGTCTCGCGGTCCCCCCGACAGTCGTCGGCCTCGACATCGGACAGCTGCCGATCTCCCCAATCTACCCACCGCGAGTGGAAATGCCTGATCTGGTCCCGGACTGTCCTGTACAGTCTGCCGACTGGATCGTCGCCAGTCTGTGCAAGCAGAAATCTGTCGCACTCCTCGACCACACGGGCGTCGTCACTGGTCGTCTACAACGACTCATAATATCGGAGGGACCGGCGGCAAGGGTTGAGGAAGTGTGTCGCAGCATGTGCGGGCTCGAGCATGTGGAGGTTGCGGACGACAATCTCACGCACGCACGGCTCGACCATGTCCGCCGGCACATCCACATTCCTCATCAACTTGAGAAGATGCTGACTCCACTCGTAAACGATGGACATCATCATCCCCCCTCTATCCATCCTCCTCAAGAGCTGGTGGATGGGCGACATAACGCGGATGGCACAGTCAACGCATCACCATAACTCGCCACCGCGGATCTGCTGCTGAACCCACTGTGCCTGGGAGACAAGCCTGCGCTCCCACGGATGCGCGCCCACGCGTCGCTGTGCAGCATGCTCTCTAACGCGTCCCGCCGGCCTTTGAGACACGTCAGCATCAGGAAAACTGATGCAAACTGGGTCTCAACGCGCTCAACCAGCATGACACGGGGGCTCATCCTCCTGAAAAGGGCAAACGCAGCGCCGTGCGATTTAATAAATCGCACTAACGCTCGGGCACGAATGATGGTCTCCTTGACCCACCCCACTCGCGTCCCGACGTCTGACAACATCAAGTTGCAGACGTGGGTGGAGCAGGGAAGCCAAATGATCCTCCTGATGTCTCTGTCGGGCTCGATGACGAATCTACGGGCCGCTGTCGTATAGTTACTGGCAGAGTCCGTGCAGAAGCCGATCACGTCCTTTGCAGGAAAGGACAAGATGATGGCCCGCCACCTGCAATACACGACATCCGCCGTGTCAGGGACTGACCCGTCATGTGCGATGGTCGCATATAGCAGGGCGCCCCCGGCCAGGAAGTTCACGAGCGGCTTGCCGCTACGCGACTTCCTTCCGTCGGAGAGGATGGTGGCACTGGTGTGCTGGAAAGCGGACCGCACCTCGCTCACCATCGTCGCCACCTTCCCCCTCTGCGAAGGGATCCCGGCGCCCGCTGTAACCCTGTAGGAGGGAAACTGGAAGCGAACGTTGCTGGGGACTCTCTCCGCCGCCTGACGCACCCTCTGGAACTTCGGCCCTCTGAAGGCGTTGAACGACAACCCCTTCGCGTAGATCTACTGCAGCCACGCATCGGTGAACTCAGCCAACTTCTCCTTCACGTACATCTCGTCGATCGTCGTCTGACGTGCCCTCTTCTCCCTCGCCGTGTCCCGCATGTCAACTTCCTCCTCCCTCACCTTCTTCTCTCCCTCCTAGCGCGCTCCAACTTAGGTCGTGATGCCCTCGCACCGCGTCCCGCCGGGCCATCCCCTCTCGACGTCATCACAACCTCCTCCCCAGGTACATCAGGCTCGCAGCCTCCAGCTGCCTCGTCTCGCATCCCCGCCTCGCCGCCCCCCCCCTCGCCCCCCTCGTGCTCATCGAGGAAGTCCTGCATCTCGTCCCTCTCTGCCTTGTCTGCTGGTGGCCGCTGCCCACCCGTGGTCGATCTCGTATCCCGCATCCCCTCGTCTGCCATCCACCTCTGGACCCGCCAAGCAGTGCTGTCCACGAACCTGTACCCCCTGTTGTTCCATATGTCCGCGATAACTCTCATCCCCGCAACCCTGCAGTACTTGGGCTGCGTGAAATGGTGAGCGACCTTCGTCACATTCCCCTACCACACATGGTTGCAAAAGTTGCAACGCAACTTCCGGTCCCCATGCATCTTCGACTGGTCCCCGACAAGTTGCCCCGCGGTGACGAAGTTCCAAATTGCGTTGCCCCGCCTCAACCTTGCAATCTCCCTTTCAGACTGCGGGACAAACCCCCCACCCGCAGTCCCCAGCGGCGCCCGCGCACCGCCGGTCCCCTCACCGCTGAGCTTCGCAGTCCTCTGCCTCGCCGCCGATGTCGTCTCGCGGTTGCTCCCTCCGCACCGTCGATGTCGTCCTCGCTGGCCGCTCCGTAGACCTCCCCCTGCCGGCACCGGAGGCGGGCGCGGGTGTCTGGCACAGAGGGGAGCACCCCATCCACACGACTCGCCCCAGCCTCCCCGGCGGCGACCCCCACGGCGTGGCCGTCACGGCCGCTCCAGCCGAGTTCGGCCGAGTTCGGCTGCATTCGGCCGAGTTCGGCCGAGGTCGGGCACTAAAAATGCGCGCGGCGATGGCGGGCGCGAGGCAGAGACCGGTGCCGCGGCGCTGGACGGTGGACCGTCGGCGACGACGTGTGGGGCTTCGCGGTGGCGCGTGCGGCCAGGCTCTCTCTCTCTCTCTCTCTCTCTCTCTCTCTCTCTCTCTCTCTCTCTCTCTCTCTCTCTCTCTCTCTCT